GTCTCAGCTGGAGGCCTTGGCGTTGCAGGACTTCCTCCGAAGCATCCCCGCCAAGCTCCTGGTGACGGAGCTCTATGCGGACTGGATGGCGGCCATGCAGAAGAGCAGCAAGGAGGAGAAGATAGAGGAGCTGAAAGCGTAAGCGTGGGTGGCAGCCTGCCTGTTGAGCAGGAGCCCTGACCGCTGGCTGAGAGCACCTGGAAAGCTGCGCAACACAGCCGCTGGCTCCCACCTGCCTTGGGCAAGCCTGGGGGACTGCTGTGGGCAATGTTGGCTGTATTAACACTGTGGTCCTGTCCCCTCAGGGTGGCCGACAAGTTGCCTGCAGCCAATCTCCTCCTCCTCAAGCAGCTGCTGTCCCTCCTCCAGCACATCAGCCACAACGCCTCCACCAGCAGGATGACCTCCAGCAACCTGGCCATCTGCCTTGGGCCCAACCTGCTGAGCCCACCCAACGAGGATCTGCTCCTGCTGGAGGCCATGCTGGATGTGACCGAGAAGGTACGCTCCCTTGAGCGGCCGGCTGCAGCCTTCCCGGCCCATCGGAGCTTGGCTCTTCAGAGGGCCCTGGCTGCCTCCTGTCTTGAGCGAATGCTGCTGGGGTGGCTGCCTGGAAGAGCAGCCCCACAGCCACAGCCTTCAGCACAGAGGCACGGGTCAGGAGGGGGAAAGGCTGCTTGATACATTTTCAGCCCCCTGCGCTGAGAGCTAGGACGTGATGTGTGCAGGTGAAGGGGCTGGTGGAGTTCATGATTGAAAACTGCTGTGCAATCTTTGTGGAGGAGATGGCTGGCCTTCCAAGTCCCTCAGCTGAGGAGGTGCCAGCACTCATGGACAGATCCACAGGTAGAAGGAGGGACTGAGGGTTGTCACAGTGTCAGCAGAACGCTGGTGCAAGGCTTCGTGTGGGTTTTACTTCAGCTGTTGGCCACTTCCAAGAAGTCACTTTGCTGCCCATGCTTTTGCTTTCCAGAGCTGCCTTTGCTAGAGCAACGTGGCCCTGCAGGTAAAGGCGACGTGGAGCGCCAGGCAAAAGCCTTCCTGGACACACCACCCTCGCTGCTTGTCCTCCAGAAAGCAGCAGGGGCAGACGCTGTGGCGGGATCAGGAACGGCAGAGGTACGGCAGCTCCACAAACACGGGGACAAAGGTGTCTCGTATAGGAGGGTACTTCGCGCTGAGTCCAAGCAGCTGCTGTGCCTCTTCCTGGCATTTGTTCTCTTGTGGCTTTTGGTGTTTTTTTTTTTTATCCCCGGGAATGGTACATTGCAAGTCAAACCGGCAAGGTTGTTTCTCAAATGCATTAGGCATGTGCTTAATGCAAGGAAATGCCTGCAAAATACCTACAGAAAGACAGAGTTTAAAAGCAAAGCCTCCTGCCGCAGAAAGTGGTATTGCAGCAAAGGGATAGCCGCAGGGCTCTGTCTCGGGAGGGCAGAAGAAACCCGGGCAGAATGAAGCGGGCAAGCCCTTTCTTGCCCAGAGGGGGACCGCAGGCTCCTTGCTGAATGGACCCCCCCAAATGAACCGAGTATCACACAGCCATGTGAACATTGTGTTCCAAAGTGTGGCTCTTGGAAGAAAGGGCTAACGCAAACCAGCCAAAGGGGTCTTCTCCGGCGAGCTAAGGGAGCAATTTGCCAAACAGTGGCTTAGTGCTCCAGGGCGTCCCTTGCCACCTGCTAATGCCAGCATTTCTGGTTTAGGCACCCGTTGCTTTGCCTCCAACCACCCCAGAGACCATGGCAGACTCCCCGGGCTATGCAGAAGAACTAAAGAGCCTTTCAGAGGAAAGAAGGTAAAAGGAGGCAGCTTTGGTTAAATGAAGAAGTGATTCCAGTTGATCCTGGCTTTACCGTCTAATCACACTATGGGATGGAAAGGTTTGCAGGCTCCCCCCAGGAAACTGAAAAACAAAGAAAAAGGAAGAGACAAAAGGCCTGGGCCGAGAAGAGGGAATTCCAACAGGAAAAGAAAAGAAGGAAGAGAGAAAAAGAGGGGGGCTGAACAAAAGCAGGAAGGTCCAGCAGGTCAGGAAGCCCAGGTGTGTACCAGGCTCTGCTGCCCATCTTTCCCAACTCTGAACACTGCTCTGAGGCAGTCCAACTCGCTGGCAAGGGTCGGTGAGGGATGGTGCTGCGCAGGGTTTGGAAATAACTCCATGGCAGCTCCCCAGGGGCTCCCCATCGAGGCCTGCTGTGCGGCACAGGGCCACCGTGCAACTCTGCACGCGCACAGGTCTCAAAGGGCATCACCCACAGGGATGAGGCGCCGGAGCCACGCCGCAGTCAAGGCCAGCAGTAGCTCTCTCTGCTGGGCCCTGAACAATTCCTCATGGATGGTGTTCCCCAAAGAAAGGGAAACAAACCTAATCCTGCCTCTTCCTGCCTTTGCGGGTTTATCAGAGCTTTCTGACTCTCGTTGTAGGTGCTGATTGGCTTTCACCGGCTGAACTGCTGTGACTCCTGGGCCCCCACACTTGCTGTCCACAATAAAAGGCTATTTTCTGTCTTCTGACTGTGTCTGCCATCACATATTGTGGAGTGGGGAGCTGTTGTTTTGTGAGGAATCCTAGGGGAGGAGTTTGGGATCGCCCCTTGTCCCAGCATCCTTTGCAGCAGGCATCAGGGCTGAGTTCAGAGGCGCTGGGAGTGAAAGCAAAGCACAGAGTCCCACAGGAGGGTGGAGGTTGGAAGGGGCCTGTAGCAGGCCGTCCAGTCCAACGCCTCTCCTCAAGCAGGCTCACCTAGAGCAGGCTGCCCAGGACCACGTGCCCTTGGGTCGGAGACTCCACAAGCTCCCTGGGCAATCTGTGACAGCGTTTGACCTGCCCCCAGACCGTAAAAAGTTGTTTTCTCTTGTGCATCTGGAACATTATGTAATTTACTTTGTGCCTGTTACATCTGGTCCTGTCAGTGGGCACTGTTGAGAAGAGCCTGGCTCCCACATCTTAATTCCCTCCCAGCATGTTTATATAAATGTATTGATAAGACACCCCCGCCCCCCTCTTCAGCTGGGAGAAGGTTTTCTCTTCTAAAGTGTTCCAGCTTAAAAGCACCAGGGAAAATTTGGCTTCCTTGATGCTCGTTGTCTTTTGTGTAATGTATGTCTGCTCTGCTCTGCTGAGACCCCACCTGGAGTACTGCATCCAGCTCTGGAGCCCTCAGCAGAAGGACATGGATGTGTTGGAGCGGGTCCAGAGGAGGGGCACAAAAATGATCTGAGGGCTGGAGCACCTCTGCTATGAGGACGGGCTGAGAGAGTTGGGGTTGTCCAGCCTGGAGAAGAGAAGGCTCCGGGGAGTACTTAAAGGGGGCCTACAGGAAAGATGGGGACAATCTTTTTAGCAAGGCCTGTTGTGACAGGACAAGGAGTAATGGTTTTAAACTCAAGGTGGGTAGATTTAGACTGGATATAAGGAAGAAATTTTTTACAATGAGTGTGGCGAGGCACTGGAACAGGTTGCCCACAGAGGTAGTGGAGGCCTCTTCCCTAGAAACATTCAAGGTCAGGTTGGATGGGGCTCTGAGCAACCTGATCTAGTTAAAGCTGTCCCTGCTCACTGCAGGGGTTTGGGCTAGATGATCTCTAAAGGTCCCTTCCAACCCAAAGCATTCTATGATTCTATGTGTTGGTGGTGTTTCTACCATCTTACATAGTGCCTGCAGTGCTGCTCCTCTCTCTGGAAATGGCTCAGAAATGGAAACAAAGCTACCGACCAGCTTGTGTATAAAGAATAAGCTAACTGGCCTACATCTGTTCAGCTGGGAAAAAAATGGCTGCGGGAAGACATGGAAGGGTTATGAAGAATGATGAATGGCAAGGAGATGTCATAAAGGGACTGGCTTGCATTTCTACTTCCAGCAAAAGATCCAGCTGTTGTCTAGGTCAGAGTGAACACAAAGAGGTGGTTTGTCATAGACCATGTAGTTAAACTATTTGCCGCTAGACACTTTGGAACTTAAATGGTGCATAATCACAGCTTTTCTTGTTAAAAATCCTCCAGAAAGGTAACTTCTGGTTATCTTCTTAGAGGTAACCACACCTGGGAACTGTGAGGCCCATTCCTCAACCCGATTTGGGAGAACTGCCTGTCTCTTACTGCACAACAGCCTGGAGCAAAGGCTTTTTTCTCCTCTAAGCTTGGCAGCTTATACAATTGAAAATAGAAAATGGGCTCATATTAAAACATGAACATTTTAATTTATGCATTGATATTATGCTGTAATTAAATTATATTCCCATGGTGCGTATAACATCAGGGTTGTAGTAATACAAATAATTAGTAATTAACTCTAATCAGATCAGTTAGCAAATGGGAGATTCCAGATGAATAAGCTGGCCAGCACTGTGTGTGGTGAGGAAACCAAGAAGAATGAAGTAAAGATTATTTGCGCTGATGGATAAGGGAAGGAGTGAAAATAACATGAAAAGAAGAGAAGTCCCCTGCCAAAGAAAACAAGAATGCAGTCTTAAAAGTTCCTTTAGGCAATAGTCATCACCCTGCAGCTCAGTTCTTGGAATATACTCCACTTTGACCTGTCACACCCTGCCCCGAGTCCCTCCCAAATGCCCATGCCTCTTACTATGCTTTTGTGCTGAAGTAAATGAAGGGCCAGTACAGCAGCATGCACAGAGCACCTTCAGCCAAAGGGACCTTCCTAAGCTGCCCTCCAGCTGACAGTCCCTTGATGATAAGTGATGCTGGCACTTCAGTGCCTTCCTCAGCATGCCTGCGGCACCTTGGCATGGGAATTTGGGAATGAGTTCCTAACCAGTTGCTCCCACTAATCTCCAGGTAACTGCAGTGCTGCAGGGGCAACTTTGAGCTGCAGAAATGGCTGGAATAGGAAGGCCTGGGCATATATGGTGGGAAGAGCAGTCTGAAAACGCACCTGGGCATGGGAATCGGGAAGGACTACAGCACAGGTCATGGGAAATGAAAGTATCTTAGGGTGCTGCAGATGCACAGAGCCCAACTTGAGCATGCTATGTCTCCCAAGGCTTCCTCTCTAGCCAGCAAAGAATCACACCCTCCAACACATAATTCAGAACATTAGTGTCTTGCTCTGAATTGCCCTCAGGAGGCACTGATTTCTCTCTATTAACTACTGCAGGAGTCAGCAGAGACTAGCCCTCCTGGGCTGAAGCTGGTTGTCAGGAATCCTTTTCCTTGAATGAGTCCAACAGGAGTTCAATGTTCTGCTGCAGTACAGGCCCCACAGATACAGGCATGATCTTCATGCCAGCTCTAAGAATGCTGAACTAGCTCCTGAGCAACATGAGAGCTTAGCAAATAGTTGCAAGTGTTTGGAGTTCAGGGTCCAGTGAGATCCCAAAGGCAGGAAAAATGCTGCTGCCTGTTGATCTTGCAGAGACAGATCAGCTGAGGTTATCATGTCTAACCTTCAGAAGAAGACTGATGTCAGGACTGGATGGGAGCCAGGGGCCTAGGCAGCGTGGGCTACAAAGAGGGAGTATGTGTCTTGGTGCCCACAGCTTCTCTTCTGAGAACAAGTGTGGAGCTGCTCTGCTGTGTCCTTGTGCCATGAGGCCCCAGCTCTGTCCAGCACAAGCCCCATCGACCAGCACTGAGGTCTTGTTTCTCTGAGCTTTTCTTTTCACTCCAGATGTGTGGGAACAGCCTCTGCGAGGCGAGACCGGGGAATGAGAAAAGTAGAAGAGGAGAAGGACATAACCAAAGGATTCAGCTTAGACCCTTTTCCCCATACAGATCACTCTCAGGCCTCTACTGGCAGGGCTAGGTCCTCTTCAAACCTGGCGAGTCTTTAGGGTAGGGGAAATTTGGGGAAGGTATATGATAGCAAGCAAAGAGGCTCTGCCATTGCACACACACTGGGGGGGTCTTTCCCAGGCAGAAGTAAATACTCCTGGAGACACAGGTAGCAGAGACCAAATCCTGGCACAGGGAGCCTTCTCAGTGCTTCCTTCACACTGTTGCTGAATGGGTCAGCTGATGATACCTCAAGATGTGTTTTGGGTTGGAAGTAGCCTGATTCCCCCTTTACATCTTCCTCTGACTGAGAAGCTCATTCCATTGCTCTTTCTTTCCCTCCCAAGTCCCTGCCTGTCTCTCCACCAAGTGCGGACTGAGCCTGGGCAATGTGCCTTGGCCCCACTGCCAGCTGTGCTGTCTTTTCTTCCCTTTCATAGTTTAATGCACAACACAAGGTGTTAGGAGACCATCCTGTGGTCCACACCATGGTGGCACAAGGACGGTAAAAGCAGCCAGGTCTGCCTTTGCAGCTGGCCATAGCCGAAACCCAGGTCCACGTCCATGCTGCACAGGGGCACACAGCACACCTAGGATCTGACATAGATGCCTCGGGACATTCTCTGCTTTCTTCTTGGTGCAGCCTTGTCTGTGTTGGTTCAGCATGTTTTACCTGTCCTCTTTCTGCCTGACTATATCAGGAGGGCATCTGTGCATCAGTCTACTAGAGTGTCTAACCCTTCAGCTCCAGGATCATGATCTTCACTGCAGAAAAAGAGGAGTATGTGCTTCCAAGAATAGATGACTTGATGCAGAGGGCTTAGGACAGCTAATCTTCACAAGGCCAGGAAGAATTTCTCTGCAGACCAATGAAGTGTAAAAGATCTGGGAATAGGACTTCCTATGTGATAGGTAATACTACAGTCTGATCATCTGTTTCTGGCTTGAAACAGAGCAAAATACTGCATTTTGGTCGTGCCCTCAAAAAAAGTAAACAAAATATTTTTTACAATTTCCATTTGGATCTGTCAAACAAAGAAAATTCAAGATGTTCTCTTGCCAGCTGGACTGCAGTTTGATCAGTATCAAATATTTTAGAGACAAATAATTTCAAAAGAAAATAGTCTGTGTTCCACCTCAAAAAGGTCAGTGTGAAATATTCTGCTATTGTAAAAGGGTTTCGCTTTTTATTTTCTCAATTATAAAATGTCCTTGAAACCAACATCTTCCTGCAGCCAAGCTTTCCTTCTGATTAAATGGCATTTTCTGATGGACAATGCTCTAAGCAAACATAAAATGATTAGAAAATGAGACCAGCTCTAATTGCTGCTGTGTGCCAAGAGTATGCCAACAGGTGCTTTCTTGGAGGGCACCAGGAAAAGGGAGGTTGCCTGCGCTTTTTTTCATTCAATGATTCAGTAAGTCACTGGCTGCTTGGAAGTTACTGGTAAGAGTTCACAGGCAAGGCTCCAGAAATGGTCAAATGAACTAATTAATCAAATGAAATAATGAAGGAAGGTGAGGACAGGTCATAACGGGTAGACTCATTTCAGTTCCTTTCCACAATCCTACAAAAACTATGAAGAAATGGGAGAAACAGATATATTTGTGTGTAGGGTTTAGGATGGGAGCAACGCTGTACAGGTCCATACAACATAATAGACTGTGGTTTATCGAGGTGTTTGCCAACACTCCAGAAT